CGTCGCCATGCCCCGCGCCGCCGCCTCGGCTGGCCAGAGCCCGAAGCTCCACCGCCGCCTCGCGACCCCGCCTCCGGCCACCGCCCTCCGCGTCGGTGCCCCGTCGTCGTCGCCTTCCGGCCCCGAGCCCCGCCGGATCCGCCATCCCCGCTCCTCCCCGGCCCCGTCCACGACATCTCCGGCGAGCGCACTCTGACGATCCTCGGTATCCGTGCCGCCCAGATCCAGATCCAGCTAACCCTAAGGTTGACCCCGAATTTTGCCCAAGTCCCGAAGTATTTTGCATTCTAGTGCCATGTTTGACCTGCCATATCTCTGCATCCGTAGCTCCGTTTCATGCGCATTAAATGTCAAGATGTTCATCATAAGATGATCTACATTTCATTCCATTGTGCCATGTTTGTTTGAGTTCATCTTGATGCACGAATCTCTGCTGCAAGAGTGCTATATGATGTTAACTGTTGTCTGTTAACAGAACTTGATGATTTGTTATTTTTGTTGCATTTTGTGTGTGCATCTTATGAGCTTGATGTCTACATGTGTTTTGAACTACATCATGCCATTTTTACATAGGTGCAATCCATGTATTTTTGTGAGTCATGTACTGAGTGCATCAAGCTTGTTAAGTAGGGTACTTGCTGTTGCTGTTTTGCTAGGTTGTTTCTGTTATATTTTGTTGCCATGTAAACCTGCTGCTACGAGTTATTATGTGCATAACCTGGAGATGTTCACTAAGGATGTTTTGTTATACATGTCTTGCGCTATCCATCCATGCCCCTGGTAGCATTTATATCCTACTATAGCTTGTTGTAATCTTGCTCTCAAGTTGCTAAATAATGTTGTTGTCAGCCTGTTAACATTAAGTTCAGTTTTGCCATGTGCTTTGCTAGTGATCCATGCAACCTATGAACTTGGTATTGCCATGCTTAGATTCATAAACATGTCTTATTACTGTTGGTCACCTTGTAATGCCGTGTATTGCTCTGTGGTGAGTGGTACAAGC